GTACGTCCGCGTCATCGGCGGGGCCGGTGGACATGGACTGGGGTGGGATCGGGGTTGGGGTGGTGGCCGGGGAGTGGCTGTAGTGCCGGGGATCGGGTTGGGGCGGGGGGGACAGGGCTGGGGCACAGCCTCAGGCTTTCCTCCCCCTCAGGCCCTGGGGCTGGGGCCATGAATCTGGGTCGCCCTGGGTGGCCACAGCCTCCTGGAACCCCCCGGGAAGGGCAGACGGAGGACCCCTCTTAGATGAAGCGGGGCCTTACCCGGGTTTTGAAGAGCCCCAGAATCAGATGTTGGAATGTTGTGGTTTATCAGCCTTGTTTATCTGCAGGGAAATTTCAGTTCCATCCAGATGTTGGTTCCTTCAGTAAACCTCAGGAATAAGACACAAGGGTCAGTGCCGATTAGCAGTTATCAAGGGCTTGACTCAAAATAGACTGTGCGGGGTGTAGGGATAGTAGATGGGACCCTCCCTCTTGAAGTTAGCAGTCTTCTGGGATTAGAAGCCCCAGTTGAGGATTACATCCTCATTTGCAGTAATGGAGGCTGTGGGAAACATAGAGAAGGGAGGGGTATGGCGGCGGTAACTCATTACAGATGCCAGGACCCTTGCCTGACTCTTGTGTAGGAGAGTCTCGCCTAGGATAGGGCAGCAGCTATCCAGGTGCGTCCAAGGCCCCTGAGGTGCAAGACCATTTTCATAGAAACTCCTTGATGTCACCTGCCTTTTGCGCACTCTTGCTCTCCCGAGTTCCTGTGGGGTTTTCCAGGGAAAACCTGGCCTGTGATATCACAAAACAGGGAATGCAGAGGCAGATAGGAGAATTCAGCTCTCACCAGTCCAAAAGAGATTTGCAGAAATTAAAATCACTGCTATTCTTCTCACTAATGATTTTTGCTTTGAAAAATATACTTAATTTTTGTTTAAGAGTATTAATGGTAACATGTAGTAGGTTGTTAATATTTTTAAGTGAATTCATAAACTTTTTTAAGTTCTTATTTAACTTCTAACACAGGAACTATTGATAGATTTAACTCACATAAATAGCAGCCTTTTGGAGTTCTCAGTAATTGTTAAGAGTGTATAGGGTTCTGTAGACCACAAAGCTTGAGAGCCCCTGGAGAACAGTTGCTCAGGTGCTAGTCAGGTGCTTAGTGATGTTAGATGGATGCCAAGATGTCTTCCACATCTGCCCCCGGACTCGAAGTAATTGGCCACATGGAGATGGGTGGGCAGTGCCTCCACTTTACAAATGAGAAGCTGCTGAATGTGTCTGGAGTCTAGGCCATGGGCTGTGCAGGGATTCCCTTTGTATCTGTTCTATCTAAGCCGGGATTCCTGTGCAGAGGCCTGGCCCTGAAGACCCGCTCTCCTTTGCTCCCTGCCAGGTACCTTCTGTGTGACGTCAACCCTCCAGAAGGCTTCAGCCTCCATAGGAACGTCTGCATCCACATTGCCTTCCTCCTGAAGACCCTGCTGAAGATGGAGGAGTCAGTACTGGTGCTACCCCCTTGGGGCAGCCTCTACCACTGGCAGAGCCCCAACATCAACCAGGTCCGGATTCTCTGGTCCGACTCCTTTGACCTCCCAAGTCTCAACAGAAACATCCCTGACATTGAGTATGAGCAGTTCATTGCAGGTGAGGTGGTTGTCATTTAACTGGGGCCAGGTGGTCGTTGTTATGGTTCCGATGTGAATGTTGGGCCGTCTTGCTTTGGGCTTGTCGGTCTGCTTAGGGGCCCTGCTCATGTTTCCTGCACTGCAGGTGAATTTGGTCTTTCCATAGTTTTTCTTGGGAAATCGATTTGAAGTGTATGAGCTCTGTGTCCCCTCCCCTCTGAAAACCATGGCCTCCTGGTGAGATGGAGTGGTGACAAGGAGACCACTGCCTCAGAGGCCTTGTCCCAGCAGGACTCGCTCCCTCTGCAGCCAGGGCCATTCTTACCTGTAGGAAAACATGATGTGTGTGTAGCGTGGGCCATGTGCTGGAGAAGATATGTAACCGCCCATTCAGTATAATTTTGGCCTGCTTAAGCTTCCCATTTTAATTTTTGTAAGAGGGAAGAGTTGATGATTTTCTTTGAATAAAGTATTTAGACCTTATCATTGTTTTTTTTAATTGAAATGTGGTTTATTTACAATATTTTGTTAGTTTCAGGTATAGAGCATAGTGATTCAGTTGTACATTTATATAACCTATTCTATTTCAGGTTCTTTTCCATTATAAGTTGCAAGATACTGAATATTGATCCCTGTGATCTACAGTGAATCCTTGTTGTTTGTCTGATTTACATATAGTAATTTGTATCTGTTAATCCCAAACTCCTAAGTTTGTTTTCTAAGTCTGTGGGTCTGTTTTTGTTTTATATATAAGTTCATTTGTATCATTTCTTAAATTCCACATGTAAGTGATATCATATGATACTTGTCTTTGACTTACTTCACTTAGTGTGATAATCTCCAGGTCCATCCATGTTGCTGTAAATGGCATTATTTCATTCTTTGTTATGACTGAGTAATATTCTGTTTTACCTGAATACCACATTTTTATCCAATCATCAGTCAGTGGACGTTTAGGTTGCTTCTGTCTTGGCTATTCTAAACAGTGCTGCTGGGAACATTGGGGTGCATATATCTTTTGGAATTAAGGTTCTCCCTGGATATATGCCCGGGAGTGGGATTGCTGGATCAAGTGATAAGTCTTTTTTTTGTCTTTTGAGGAATTTCCATACTGTTTTCCACAGTGGCTGCACCAAACTACATTCCCACCAACAATGTAGGAGGGTTCCCTTTTCTCCACAGCCTTTCCAGCATTTATGGTTTGTGGACTTTTGAATGATGGCCATTCTGACTGGTGTGAGATGATAAATTATTGTAGTTATGATTTGCATTTCTCTGATACTTGAGCAATACTGAGCATTTTTTTATATGCCTATTGGCCATTTGTGTGTCTTCATTGGAGAATTGCTTGTTTAGCTGTTCTGCCCATTTTTGGATTTGGTTGTTTATTTTTTTCTTATTAAGTTGTATGATCTATTTATATAGTCTAGAAATTAAGCCATGGTCAGTCTCATCCTTTGCAAATATTTTCTCCCATTCCATAGGTTGTATTTTTGTTTTGCTTATGGTTTCTATTGCTGTGCAAGAGCTTATAAGTTTAATTAGGTCTCATTTGTTTATTTTGGCTTTTATTTCTGTTG